CACACACACACACACACACACACACACACACACACACACACACACACACACACACACACACACACACACACACACGCGCGCACACACGCATGGCTCTCGTCTTGTTCTGCCACTACCTTGCTGGCCCTTCCCTGCTGTCTTGCAGTGTGCAGGAAGTGGTGCCCGTGACATGCACACAAGGGCCTGCTCTCGCAAACATCGTCCTCACCCCCCCCCCCAACTCTGCAAAATCTCTCTCAACACCCCACAGCCGCGCGACGAGCTGTACTTCCAGGCCAGGGGCAGGGCCGTCGCGGTGTATGACTACAAGCTACAGTACACGCGGGTCGAGGCGCCCGCCGGCGCCAACGCGTGCGTGGAGACGCCAAAGGACGTGGTCCAGTGCGTCTGAGGGCGACCGGCGCTGCATATATGAGTGGCGAGCTATGTGGGGCACGCCAGCTGCCAAGCATTGGCCTGTGCAACTGTAAATCGCAAGCATAGGCAGGCCCACCAAGAAGCAACACATATTTGCGGCAGCAAACAGCTTGTTGCATCAAACAGCAGGGCAGTAAGCTGTACATGAAGGCAAGTTGACGGGCCGACCATCAGCTGGGCGGCCGCTGTGCGCCACTGCCGGCGGCCCCCGCCGCCATCCTGCGTATCGCGTCGTTGGCTTCCCGCCGCTTCTGCAGCTCCTCTGGGGGCACCAGCTGACAGGGTGGGGCATGGGGCGGGGCGCCAGTCAAACTGAGGGCACGGTTCCTCGCATGTGCATGAGTGCACCCAGGGAGACCGCGGCCGCCATTGCATGACGGCGCGGCGGCGCATTGGCATGTGGGTATCTCTGATGAGCAGGCTGTAAAGCAAAATCAGTGGTCGCATGGCCCCGGGTCGCGCATGGCGCCGCACTTGTTGAGACATTTACACAACATGGCGTCCGACAACACTCACTTGTGCCAGCTGCTCCTCATCCGGCTGCACCGCGAGCATGACGCCACTGCCGAGCGTGGGCCACCTGCAGGCAATTCGGCGCGCGCACGCAAGAGTCATGCACTGCAGATTGGGCTGTGAGAGCAGCAATATGCCTAGTCAGAGCGGAGGTGCTGGAAGGCGCGCTGCAGATTCCAGAGGGTTGGGGACAGCCGCCCCAGCGTGTCTCACATGATGGCCCAGCACGCCTTGAAAGGCACTGTCTGTAAGGGGCAAGGTTCAGGGCGTGTTGGCGCCAATTGGAAGGGTACATGTTGGCAGCATGGCTGGGGTCAAATGCTTGCTCCCACTGGCCAGGTGCAGCTGGCTATGCAGTCTAATCCGGCGCCTCAGCAGTGGCTGCGTGACCACTTCGGGGCAGCGAATGAAACTGCATAAACAGCGCCCCTAACGAGCCCTGCCGCACCTGCTTGCGTCGCCAAAAGTGCACCATCCCGGCCAGGCAGGCTGTTCCCACCCCAAGAAGAGCGTTCTTGGCGCTCAACTCTGGCACCCATGCTGACCTCGCCGCCGCTGCCCCTTCAAACCGCTGAGGCTCCTGCACTGAAGGCGGCATAGCGCCAATGCGATCGTTGTGCCAGGTCTGGCTGCCCGCAATGGGCCTGTACCTGGCGTCGGGATGCAACAAAGCGCGGCTGTTCACTGCGTGGTGCTGCTCGCACTGGGCGGGTGATGCGGCGCTGCCGTGCTCGCTGGCACCGACTGTGAAGGATTGTCGACAAAGCGACTCAATAACACATCGCCACGGCGTTTACGGCGTTTGACAGTCGAGGCTGGCCGTGCGTCACCGCGAGTGATCTAAAATGCGTGCTTTGATATGATAAGATTTCAACAATAAGGCAAGAGCAGTCCGATTTCCTCTCCAACGCAATTGGCCCAGTTGATCGGTGGAACTCCCTCACGGAGACCTTCTTGTCCGAAGCCGCGTCGCCCACTGTCCGTTGCGTCGGTAAACCCGAAGGTGCTAAAACAGCCTACACGTACTTTCCTTTACGATTTTGATCACCCCCTGCTTCTGACCAGGTCAAATTTTGAAAACCGCCATCAATGAGCCACTGCATGAGCGTGCTTGTGCAGCTCTGCATGTAGATGGGTCGTGGGATCGAGAGAATACCTGAGATAACGCCCAGAATACGCGACATAGCCATTTTCACGAGGCCTCGACTCGCGAAGCGACCACCGCCGCCGCCACTGCTGCTGTTGCTCCTGGCAGTGCTGCTGCTGGCGACTGCCCAGAGCTGCGCAGCGCAGCGGCCTGTGAGCCTGCATAAATACAACCACCCTGTACCACGACGCGCACTGAAGGGCAACTCGATCGTGCAGTCAACGCCAGCAGGCAGCAGCTGGCGCAGCAGGATTGGCAGCAGGGATGATGTTGGCGCCGGGCTCGCCGCGCCATCGGGCGCTGTTCTGCAATCCCTGGCACTGCGACTAACTTTGTCACCGGTGGAGCCAGCGGTGCTGCAATTCAACAGTACCGAGCAGCGGCTTTTTCTTATAAGGGCGCGCAGGGCCATCGCGGGCAGCTTAGGGATGCGACGTGCAGACCTTGTGTCTGAGGTTGACTTGAACAGGGTCTTCTTGGAGGTTGCGACCGACACGGGCGGGAGCAGACGGAGCGTGAATGGTGAGAACAGCAAAAGCGGCAGCAGCAGCAGCAGCAGCAGCAGCAGCAGCAGCAGCAGCAGCAACAGCAGCAGCGATGTTATGAGCGGCGCCCTGGCTGGTACGTTAGTCTCCCACGGAATCGGCAGCAGAAGCAGCAAAGATCAGATCGCCGACTGCTGCTATCACGGCGCCATCAACGGCAGCCGCAGCGGTGGCGGCAATGCAGGCGCCCTCATCCTGGACGCGCAAGTGCTGCTGGCACCCACTGCACCCAGCGCGATCATTCAGCTGCTCAAGGCGCAGCTGCAGGCTGCGCCGACCCTGCTAGTCCAGGATGACCCAGGGTTGGTGCGCCTCCTGGTCAGCGCGCTGCCGTTGGGGCCCTCCGCACATCAAGCTGATGACGGCTGGGCAGACGCGTTGGGAGGGGCCAGCAGCAGCAGCAACAGCGCGGGAAACGCAAGCGCGCCTGCGCCAGCTGCGCCTGCTGGCCTGCAATCGGCCTCGTTGGACCCGGGCGCCATGGATAGGGGGGCAGGAAGCTTTCACGGGCTCTCTTCGGCGGCGCAGGCGCTGCTGCTCGCGGCGAGTGGTGTCCTGGGTGCCCTGATCGCCTGGCGCGTCGCAGCGCGCGCCGCAAGGGCGCTGCGCGAGCGGCGGGCGCTCGAGGCGCGGCGGAGGCAGGAGCGCGAGGCGCCGACAGAGAGCGGCGGCGGCGCCACCGATGGCAGCGCTAGTGGCCGGGATGCGGAGGCGGCGACAAGCGAACGGCGCGCCGCGCGGCTCAACATTTGGACGCTCTTGTGACGCTGAATACTGCTCATAGGAGTGGTGCTGACGTCAAAACAAGCATTCTGTGGAAGTGTCCCTGCACAATAATCATCTGTTGGCTGCCAATGCGCCTGCCGTTCTTATTGCCACTTCATACTGTGCCCATCCGCCTGATCTGCCGCCCATGCTTGGCTTGGCTGGACCTTGCATGCTTGTCAGTTGCAGGGCATGCAGCCGCTCCTTGCATATACGCCTTGTTCAGATGACTCACAGTTTTGCCATGACGTGGGCGTTGACTGCTTGGCTGAGTCTCTCACCGACCTTCAAGCAGCTGCCAGTTTGAAGATTAATGAATTGAATCGTCAGTAAAGTCACGTGAAATGTTGAGGGTAAACAAGCCACCAGTCCCCCATAGACCACCAGGCACCAATCAGTGGCCAGCCGTTGATATTTACCGGGTCATGCGAGGGTGCGAGCAAAGGAAACCATGTCGAACCCGCAAACACTGCACAACGACCCTCCGATTGCTTGTGCGCATCATGCTTGATGGGTGGACTGTCGACGTTTGACAGAGGGCCAGAGCTTGTAGTTTGTACCTTTGATTGATTGCAGCATGCGTGCGAGACACACTGCTCAAGGCATCACATCCGCTGCACCGCGCACCGCCTGGGCCAGCTCCACTATGGCCGCGCGCGTGTTGACCGGTACCGCCCGCAGCTCAGTAACCTCGGACCGCAGCGCCGCCGCCTCCGCCTCCGCGGCTGCCGCCATGGCCTGGAGCCCGTCCACCGCGCCGGCCGGCAGCGACAGCGGCTCCTTCATGAGGAACTCGCGGGCGCGGCCGCGGACGGCGGCGTCGGGCGAGGCTAGGGGCTTGGAGAAGGCGGCCGCCACAGGGCCCGCCCCGGCGGTGCGGGCTGCAGAGCGCAGCAAGGAGATGGCCACGCCCTGAACGCTGCTTGGCATGAAGCTGAGCGTCAGGCGTACTTCATCAACCGATTTGGCGGGGGTTTTGAATGATGTGGCCAAGATGGCGAGAGCCGGCAGGACACTGTCGCCGGCTGCCGCCTGGCGCTCCAACTCGACGTAGGTCAGTGCAGCCTTGCCAAGGGCTGCCATGGCAGTGGGGCTTGGCATCTTTGGGGCGTATTTCATCTGCGCCAGGGTGGCGAGGCCGCGCTCAACACGGGCGACGAGGCGCGGGTCTCGGCTGCCGAGCCTGACGAGCTGGATGAGCAGAAGGTTGATGAGCAGGGAATCTGGGTCCTCGCGTAGCGCCTGTATGATTGTCGAGACACCGCCGTCTGCCCGCAGCAAGCTGCAGAGAGCCGCTGGCTCGCTCAAGCACATTAGCTCAAGCGTTTTTGTTGTCAAGGAGCGGCCGATGCCGCGTTGCATCGCTGCAATCAGGACATCAGCATACCCCTGGGCTGCCGCCATGTGCCGCTGTATGTGCGTGAAGTGACTGAGCACTCGCTCCAAGAAGTTGATGCGTGCAGCGACAGCGGTTGCTGCAGCGACAGCGGTCGCTGCACACGTGTGCCGCGTGGCTAGCTGCGCGCAGGGCGCGTCGATGAGCTCGGTGTATCCCGCCCGCCAGGCAACGGCAGCAAGTACATCCGCTGCAGCCGCCGCAGGTTCAGGCGCGCCAGATCCCATCGCACGCACGAGCAGTGAAATGGCTGCGTCGAGGGCTTCAGGAGCAGGCGCCTCGCTTGGCCGTGCGGCAGCCGCGCGCAGCGTCGCCACCGCCGCAGCGACTGCGGCGCCATCACATGCGCAGCTGGCTGCGCGGCCGGGCAAGGGGGGCGCTGCGCTCCCAGGCGCATCGCCGCCAAGGAGGCCGTCCAGCGCAATTACCGGGCTGGAAATTGCGCTCTGCACCATACTGATCAGAAACTGCAGGCTCTACAAGGCGGCCGAGGAGTGCGATGAGAGCAGAAGCGGTCAGCGCAATCAGGCCGTGTGCCATGTGCCTTGCCAAATCGCCGGCGGGCGATGCGGGGAGCTGCAGCTCAGCTGCTTCAAAATTGCCGTGCAGTCTAAATACCCTGGATGGTAACAGATCTCACGCACCTGCTCCACCTCCGTTCAAAAGACGGCAGCGTCGCCAGATCACATGCAATCGCGTGTGCGGAATTGCTTGCAATGTGCTGACTGTGTGCAATGGAGTACAGGATGTGCTGGTGCTGCAACTTGTGGAGTCGCGAGGGACGAAGGGGGCGCCGCTGCAGAGAGCAGCTGCCCGTATGTTTTGAAACCCCCGAGGGGGGTTTCAAGGGGGTTTCAAAACATACGGGCAGCTGCTCTCTGCAGCGGCGCCCCCTTCGTCCCTCGCTTCCCATTTGCAAACCGTGGCAACACTGGCAGGGTTTGGTGGCCCGTCATCAAGTGCCTCTGATACCTTGAGCACGATGGACAATCTGATGAGTCAGCATGTCATTACAGTGATGTTTAGGACAGTCAGAATCAGCGTGTGGCAGATGGCTGGCGCATTCAACAGAAGAGTGTAGGGTGTGCCAAGCTGCAGCTAGGAGCTACTTGCACGGACATGGGTGGTCTGCTGGAAAGTCAATTGCATGCATGCATGTATGATACAAGAAGGACTCTCGTCACGGCATGGCGCAAAAGGACGACACTTGGCAAGATTTGACACCGTGCGTGACAAACATGTTCAGCAGATGCAGGAGTAATGGCTGATGTTGCAGTGTTCGTCTGGCCGGATGACGTTAGGAAAGGGTGGGTGGCGACTGATGCAGGTCAATCATGGCCAGAAACGACAGTGCCAGTGCCTCATAGGAACGAGGCATTTGGAGGGGGAGTGTCGTCGCTGTGCAGATGTGTGCTTGCGCGAACAGATCTCAACCCATCCACGCTCAACCCGCGCTCCATCCCTCAAACTCAGTTTTCCTGCGCGGAGGCTGCGTCCAGGGCCTGCTGCAGCAGCTGCAGGTAGGCTGGCGCCAGGTGCGTACCATCAAGCTCAAACTCTGGCCGCAGCCGCAGCCGCTGCTGCCCAGCAGGCTTCTTCGCGCTGCCCACCACGTCACGCTCAGCAGTGGTGCCACCATCCCCTTCTGCGGCGTTGTCGGCGCCTCCGGCGCCGCTGCTGCCAGCCGGCGCAGCCTCCAGCAGCCCGTGGCAAAACTCCAGCCAAGCCAGCCCCCCACCGGCGGCGCCCGCGCGCCGCGGCAGCCGTTCCGCCGCTGCTGACACGTGCTCTCTCAGTATTTCATTGAATGCCATGACCACGGGTCTCGTCTCGATAAGGACCGGGGGTACCGGGTGCACAAAGATCTCCAGGCGCTTAGTCGTGACGAGGCGGAGGAGGACGGCCACGTAGAGGGACGCCAGCGCCTCCACGGCTTCCGCAAGCGAGTCATACTGCATGCGGCAGCCGACAGTTGGTGGGAAGAGGAGACATGAAGAGAGGTCGAGAGGGTTGCCACGAGATCCAGAGCCACCAGGCGGCGGATGGCTGAGAGCTGGAGTGCCTGTTTGAGATCCAGGCCGTCTTTGAGCCCGCTGGGATTGGAGGCGCGTTCATAAACTTTCCTTGCGGCGCTCACCACATGCCGCGCACCCCTTTCACTTTATACAGTGAGGTTTGCATGCTGCCTGCCTAAATGCACCCCCTCGCACACAGCCACATCCAGACACGCCCTTGCACATATAAACGCCCGTATAAGGCATGCATGCATGCATGCATGCATGAGGCGTGCATGCATGCATGAGGCTTGAATGCATGAGGCGTGCATGCATGCGTTCATGCTTCTGCTGCCTGACCCACCTTGAGCTTTTCCACCGCCTGCAGCAGCCCCTCCCGGCAGTCGATCTCCCCCATAACCACCACCGCCTGGGCACCGTCAGGGATCAGGCCCACAGTCCGCCAGAACTGCTCCTTGGGGTAGAAGCTGCTGCCCTCCCGCAGGTGCCAGACCTTCAGGCCGGTCACCAGGAGCGGCCACAGCAGCCGCCTGCGGCCGCGGAGGACGGCATGGCGCCAGGCAGCTGCAAGGGGATGGGGTGGTGAGAGCAATCTACGGGGATCTGGTGCAGTGGGTGGAGGGAGCGGCTTGGCAATAACAGAGGCATCTGTGTGGCGTCCCGTGCTTCCTAAATGACCACTGTCTCACGCAACTACTAAGGCAAGCCGCTGGCCAGCAGGCGCGGCGGGGCCAGCCACGGCCATGCTCGCGGCGGTGTCCTCACCTGGCAGGCAATGGGAGTCCCCCAGGACATACAGCGGCTCCAGCTCAGCCCCACCCACGCCGCCACCGCAACTGCTGCCGCTCGACCCCGCCCCGCCGCCGCCGCAGGCAGGCCCCGATTCGATCTGCGCGGCGGGCGGCCAGGCCGGCGGCACGTCCTCCAGCAGCAGCTGCGACACGCAGCCAAAGTATGCGGCCTCGTTTCTGATCAGGGTCTCGTGCAGGGGGACTGCGGCGGCCGCGCGCGCGGGCGCGAGGGCGCGGCAGAGCGCGGCCGCTGCAGGGAGGGCGCCGCCGAGGAAGAGGGCCTTGGCGGCTGTGAAGAGCAGCGCCAGGACGTCGAGCTGCGGCTCTGAATACGTTACCCGCCTTGGAGCCACGGGCACATTGGCAGGGGCGGGGGCAGGCGCAGGTTCCGGAGAGAACGGAGCAGGCTCAAAACGCGGTTCGTCGGAGTCGGGCGCGACGGCAGCCGCAGGGGTGGAGGGGTGGCGTATTGGATGCGAGGCGGCGGGCTGTGCCGCAGCCGCTGAGACCGTGGCGGTTTCGGCGGCGACTGAGGGGTTGTCTGCAATGGCGGACGGCAAGGGGCCCGGGGACCCCCAATCTGCAACCGCAGGCGTGGGCGGCGGTGGGTTCCAAGGGGCGGCGCCGAGCCAGTCGCGCGACAGGAGACTCTCTGGCGGCAGCAGCGGCAGCGCTGCCAGGAGGGGCGCCACCTCCTGCCAGGTTGGGGATCGGGCGCGTGCGGGTGGCCAATCGGAGAGGCCTGCAGAGATGAAGCTGATCGGTCACTACTGGCAGGTGGCGGGCGGCAACAAGAACAACAGTCATAGCACTGATATCACTTGTCGACAATAACTGACATTCCAGCATGCGTAGGATGAAACAAACCGACCTCCTCACAACAACTCAAGAGGGGCCTCCCACCTCAATCGGCAGCACGCCGACCCCATCGCCGTCGCCACAGTTCCGACCCACGGCCACACGCGCCTCAAGCGCCGCCCCGCACCACGCCGCCGCCGCCGCCACCGCACCCCCCAAATCCTGCCGCAGCTCCAGCGCATGCGCCAGCGCGAGCGCGTTTGCCGCGCGCGCCGGCGCGGCCGCGGCGGCGCGGCGGTGGAGCGCGATGGCGGCGTCGACCGCGCCGGCGTCGCGGGCGGCGGCGGCGACATACGCCAGCGCGGCGGCGGCGCCTGCGCAGGCGCCGAGGTCCGCCAGCACTGCTTTGAGGCCGCACTGATCCTTGAGCGAGACAATTGTGGATGAGCGCGAGGAATTCCATGTTTGCGTCAGCACAAACCCACAGTGTTGATGCTGCCGGTGGGGTTGACGGACTGGTATGCTGCAACTCATTCGCTGCACGTCAGGGTTTTAGGTAGCTGCGTCCTGAGCAGGCATGCATCCTGACGCTCCCCCAGGCGTTGCTGCCTACCCTGCAGCCCCCCCCCGCATGCAGCTGATGGGCAGCCGCGCCGCTCGCGCGCGCACCCGCAGCGCCGCAGCCAGCGCCGCGCCCACGCGCCGGTCCCCCGGCGCCCGCGGCAACAGCCGCAGCGCGACCCGCGCCGCGTCGGCCGCCTGGCCCCTGGCCGCGGCCATCTCGGCGAAAAGCAGCAGCGCCCCAAAGTGGTTGTCCTCGCTGGCGCTGAGCACGCCCATCACGAGCCCGGCCGCGAGGCGGCCCTTTGCTGGGCCGGCGTCACCGCCGGCGCCGGCGGCCGCTTGCAGGGCGCGGGCGCAGGAGACTTGGAGGTCGAGCGTGAGCTCCCTGCCAGCCGCCTGCGCAGGTGCAGCCAAGCGGAGGGGTTTCTGGTCAGCCGTGAAAAACGACAACAGCGGCGCCGTAGTGGCTGCGCGGTCAAACGACCGCTGTTGGCAGCAATCCGGATCAGATGTGCGCCGTGCGGAGCGGCCACACTCCGGAATGGCCTCTTGGTGCTGTCCATGACCCACAAGCGCCCACCTTCCCACCCACCTCGCCTTTGCACAGCGACTGGGCGGCTTGAAACGCCTCCAGGGCATCCTCGGGCTGGCCGGCAGCTAGCAGGCAGTCGCCCAGCAGCTGCCACGACTCGACGCCGCCCGGCCCCGCCCCAGGGGCCGCTCGCACGGCGGCCTGCGCCCGCGCCGCGGCCTCGGCCGGCCTGCCGGCGGCGAGCAGCAGGCGCGAGAGCATGCGCAGCGTGGAGGGGTCGCCTGGCGCAGTGTGCAGCGCCTCATGCAGCAGCAGCGATGCGAGGCGGCAGCGCCGCTGCGCAACGGCTGCCTCGGCCTGCTGGAGCAGCAGCTTTAGCGACGAGGGGGGATGGGCCGCCGGTGGGTGGCCTCCAGGTGCGTCAGTGGCGGTGGGGATCTTGCCGGCAGCTCGGCCATCGCCTCTAAGTGGCCCTGGCGTGCGCTCGGCTGTGTCTGGGCCACTGCTTCCAGGGCATGTCGGTGCCGCTGTCCCTGCTGGTCCAGGCCCTGTCGTGGCTGCCGCCGCCGCCGCCGCCGCTGCTGTTGCAGTCGCTGCTGCTACGGTGCTTGATGCCCCTGCGCATGCCGGCTTGCTACCGCCGCCGCAGTGCAGCTTGATGAAGAGGTCATCTCTGTCTCTGAGCACGTGCGCCACGCGGCTGTGGCTGTCCACCCGCCCGCCATCCGCGAGCTCGAAGGCAGCTGCTGAGACGTCGAGCAGCTGCCCGCGCTTCGCCTCGTATGCTGCTGCAAACGTGGCGGCGGCATCGGCGACCGTGACGGCAGCCGACGCATCAAGGCGCACAATGAGCGTAAACGGCGGGTCGCCGCCATGCACATACAGGCGCATGCTGCTGGCCTGTCAGAGTCCTGACGCCTTGAAACGCATGCTATGGTTGTCGATTGCTGTGATCAACGTAGAACAGTACGGCAAATACAACAAGGTGTAGATCAACATAAACAAAGCCGTATCTCGTTGCGCCTGTCTTGTATTTGTCCCGACCATTTGATTTTGCGGATGTGATTCCAAAGCGTTGTCTATGAGTCAAGCATTTCGCCGGAAGGACGTCATCTGATCATCGCAAGCTGCCTTGAAGCATATGAAGTGCACACTGCAACGCTCACACGGTTTTGATTTACAGCAGTAACGTGTCACTTCATAGCGTCTGTTCGCAATCGTGACGGCGGTAGTCATGGGAAAGGCTTTGTGGTGTTCATTGGTTGGGTTGACCTGGTGATAAATTTGAATGCTCCTGTGTGCTCCTGAACGCAGAGGCCTCAGCCGGGCGATGCGCCTCGCAAGAGGCGGCTAGTTTTTACCCGATTACTGCTGCTGACGGCCATTTCTTGCCGGTGCACCCCACCGTTGCGCCATGCCACGTGATGCGGAGGGGTCAGGGAGTGTTGATTGCAACAGCTCCTTGGGGGACTCTTGAATGGACAGGGTGGGAAGGCGCAGTGAGTTCAAATTGTGCCATGTGCTCAACGCACCAGGTGCTGACAAGTTTATCACCATAGGGCATCTCCTTCCAGGGGCTGCTGCAAACTTGTCTTGCAAGCGATGGAAATCAAACGGGTGTTTCGCCTGAAACTGTTCAGTCTGACCCTAGCTGGTGCCTCTGCCAGATGCACGTCCCAAGCGCCGTTGCGCGTTGATGCTGCTGGTCCCTGGGCCCCTCACGCGCACCATGTCGTGCAAACTTGGGAACACACAGCTTGCTACGCGGCTGCAAACCACACACCACGAGCATTTACTTTGCAATCTTTGCAGACATAAAGGTGCCAGATTTATCTAATGTCTGTACATGAAACTGCTGGCCAACACAGCAAGTCCTCAGAAAACCAAAGTTTCCCTCACAGCCTCAAAATTAACCACCACACGATATTGCATTGCACCCGCGACCGCAAAACCAGAAACACATACGGCAACAATGGAGCTGCTGCGCGCCCAAGCCCTTATAAAAAGGGCAACCCTGTGGGGCCTTACTCCCCTGTGGGGCCGCTGGGATCGCACGCCTGCGCACAGCGAGCCACCATGCAGCCCACAGGCGCGTGCGTCGCCTGCAGGTCTCGCTCACCGCCTCCTCTGCGCCCTTAGCTCACGCCTTCGGCCTGCCCTTCTGCCCGAGCGACTGCAGGTAGTTCACGCCAATCATCATGACCATGCTGATGAGCAGCAGCACCGTCCCGATGACCGTCGCGCCCACAAAATCGTACTGCTCCAGGGACTGGAAGATCAGGACGGGCGCGATAAGGTCCTTGAAGGGCAAGTTCGACGAGACGATCACGATGGACCCAAATTCGCCGAGCGCGCGGCTGAAGGCGAGCGCGGTGCCGGTAAGCAGCGGGGGCAGGAGGGGGGGCAGCAGGACGCGGACGAAGGTGTCCCAGGGGGAGGCGCCCAGGGACCACGCCGCCTCCTCGACCTCGCGCTCCATCTCCTGTGGAGGTTGTCGGGCGTTGGTGACGTCAGCAGTGTGTAGGCGCCTTGTGCAGTGGCATCAAGTTTGATAAAGGGGTACAAAATGTGCGACAAGCTCAAGAGGTGTTGTCAGCCAGCAAACAGGCCTGCCTTTGTGCATCTGCAGGCTTGCCGTCCACCGCGCGCGCGCCCGCCGCCCCGTCCGCACCTGCAGCACGGGCTGCATCGTCCGCACAACGAATGGGAACGACACGAAAACCATCGCCACGGCCACCCCGAGCCGCGTGAACACCACGTTGATGCCCAGCTTAGTCAGGAAGCAGCCGATCAGCCCGTCGTCGTTGTACACAGTAGCGAGTGTGAGGCCGGCAACAGACGTGGGCAGAGCAAACGGCAGGTCCACCGCGGCGTCGATCCACTTCTTGCCTAGTCATGTTTGCGGTGCGGTGGGGCCAAGGCGACCAGCAGTGGAATTGCGTGGCGATAAACAGACTGGGCCGATGCTGGGCCGGATGCAGGGATTCTGCTGCGCACTGTGTGCTGAACGCGCGAGCCTGCGGTTGCATAGTGCCTTTCGGCGCGAGGCCAGTGGCGCTCTCCCAAGGTTACTTCACAGCTGCTCATTTGAACACAGGTTTTCCTCGCCGAAGCAGCCCATGCCGGGACGTTCCCTCACCTGGGAAGTCAAACTTGACGAGCACCCAGGCGAGGATGAACCCGAAAAAGCAGTTGATCAGGGCCGCCACCACAGACATGCTGAACGTCACATAGTACGCCGACAGCGCCACCGGCTCCGTCGCGCGCGCCCAGAACTCGGCAAGGGGGATGAGGCTGGCCTTGCTGAGCAGGGCCGAGATGGGCAGAACGAGCATGACTAAGATGTAGCCGAGCAGGAAGGCCCAGGCCAGGGGGGCGCCGAGCGACCACGGCTGGAAGGCGGGCAGCCGCAGGAGGCCCAGCCCCGAGCGCCCCGGCTGAGAGGGGCTGGCGGCGGCGTCGCCGGGGCCATCGTCGGTGGCGTCGCCGCCGGGGGCGGCGGCCGCGGCTGCTCGTGGGGGCTGGGGGCTGGCAAGGCGCTTGGATCGGGCCCCTTCCAACGGGTGTCGCGCTCTGGTGCTGCCGCTGCTGCTGCCACAGCTGCAGTCGCTGCTGCAACATCTGCTCACAGGCTCAACGCCGCCCAGAGAAGCCGCACGGCTGCTGCTTTGGGTGCGCCCCGGTAGTGAGGCGGCCAGCGTTCTCCCAACATGATGCAAGGCGAGGCGCGCCGCTGCGGCCGGTGGCGGCCGCCGCACTGGAAGGGCGCCCCTAGAGCACTGCATCAGAGTGATAGGCGTGCTCACTTCGGAGCTGGGCTAGCTGCAACACGCTGTCAAGTCGTAGTCACTGCCGCGAGCGGCTTACTGTAGGATGCTTCGATGCATGCAAGAAGTTAATGATGGCTTTCAGGTGGATCTCAGTAGCAAAGTGACGGAGTGTGATCGAAGCGGAGAAGGTTACAAATTATGTGATCTGGTCGCATCCCATTGACGGCGATCTCCGCTTCACCTACGTGGAATCATCATGGAACAGCCGCAATTGCCTCAGCTCTATAATGCGCTGTGCGCTGGTGCTACTAGTGGCTCCCCTGACGAGGCTCTTGACCGATTGCAGCGTGCACTGACAGCGCAGGAGGCCGACGGCGGTGCCACCTCGGCCGCGGCCCTCCTGACCTGCGTGAGCGAAGTGCTCTTGGACTCTGGACCTGGCGGCATGGTGAGAGGCCGCAGGGCACCCGGAGCTCCTCAACACTTGCTTGAATGCCTCATCGCGCAGTCCAACCGGAAGGTAGTCCCTCAAACTGCGGCCCCCATGCCACCAAGCCCAGCGGCTGTGGACCCCCCATGCCGCGGATCCCACCCTGCGCCGCAGGCGCTCTACGACGCGCTGCTGCTCGACACGTACCCCCGCCTCGCCGCCCTCGGGCCCCTCTCCCCCACCTGCGCCCGCCTCGTGCTGCGCCTCACCTCAGCGGCTGCCGCCGGCTGCGCGCCACGCGACACAATAACCGCAGTCCTCGAAGCCATGGACTCTTGGCTGCAGGACTGCGGGGACCGCGACCCGTCCCTCGTCGCGACGCTCCTGTCCGGCGCCGTATCGCTGTTGCCGCCGCCGCTCGCGCGCCTGCCGCGGCGGCGGTGCGCGTTCCTCTCAGAGTGCCTCGCCCCAGCCTCGGCGGCGGCGCGGGCGGTCGAGGAGCTGCTGCCGCCCGCGCCGCGGCCAAGCGGGGCGTCGGCAGGCGCGGGTGGAGGCAGCGGCGACGAGGACATAGAGCTGCGGGAGCTGCTGGGGAAGCAGTGGGGCGTTTTCTTTGGGTTTGCCTCCGCCGCCGAGGACGAGGTGAGAGCGCGGCTCTGAATTTGGCGGGGCTGCCCCTGTCCCATCCGGCCTTGCCACCTTGGTGCATGACCAATGCACTCCTGATTTTATGCCGCTGCACAGCGTGATAATGAATGCGCTCTTGCTGGCTGATGCAAAAGCGGCGCCGGTGCTTGCACACGCGGTCAAACAGGTGGTCTCAAAGGAAGCAGAGGAGGCCGAGCAGCAGCGCGCGCGGGAGCGGCTCGCCGCATTCTGCCTGGGGCTCCTCGACCGCCTGACCCTCGGCTGGCTGCCTGCCCAGCCCGGCGCCGCCGCCGGCTGTGACGGGAGCGCGGGTGCGCCAGATGCTGCAGAGGTCGCGCGGCTACTTCGGCTGCTGCGAAGGCTGGGCGTGCGGAGCTGGCGGGATTTGGAGGAGAGGGCGGCAGCTGCCACGCAGGTAGCTGCAGAGTGGGGCACTGCTCTCCAAGATTTTGTCTGTTCACCGCAGCTGTGCAGCAGTCGAGTTGCTGCACAAATCGATGGTGCGGCGCGGGTTGCGTGGTTACCACTTTGACAGGTTTGACTTTGACAGGCGACAAGATCACCCCACAGCACGCTCCTTGCTTGCTGCGTGCAGGATGAGGACGGGGCGAGCGCCGGTGCGGCTCCTGGCGCGGCGCTGGCGGCGCTGTACTCGCTGCTGCTGCGCTGCGGCCCAGAGGCTCCGGAAGACGGTACTCCGCTCGTGGCGGTGGGCACCGTAAACATGCAAATTATGCGCATGCAGTGCGCTGGCTTTGCAGTTGACACCCGCCTCAGCAACCACGCAATGATGCTGCATGCAACGATACTGCATCTTGCTCAGGGCATGCAGCAGGCAGCCAGGGAACCTGTTTGGAGTTCTGTAGGAACACGTGCGGGTGCGGAAGCCTTCAGGTCTCCCTCCAGGAGCCAAAGGAGGTTCTTCTGGGGCCAGTCCATCCAAGTGTCATCCTTCATCCCTTGCCTAGCCACCCCTCATTGGCTTTTTACCCACTTCCCGCCGCGCGCGCAGGCGTCCTGCCGCCTCGCGCTCGCTCTCGCGAGGGAGGCGCAGGAGCGCGGCTCGCAGGGCGGCGTCGAGCAGGCGCTGCACCTGCTGCAGCTCGCCGCGCGCCTCGCGGCGGACGGCGAGGCGCCCGGTGCTGCGATGCGTGCCGGGAAGACGGACGCCGAGCAGGGCGAGCGGGGCGCGGGAGCGTCGGTGCCAGCTGGCGTCGCTGCAGCATGCGGCGAGCCGGCGCGGAAAGCCGCAGCGGAGGCGGGAGTAGTTAGTGCGGCGGAATCTGAGGAGTCACATGCCGAGACGGTTGCGTCGGATCTAGGGCCTGCTGTGTCTCTCCTTGCAGTGACGATGCTGCAAGCGGCGCCGGGCATGGCGGCCGGCCGCCTGTCGCGGCAGGCGTGGCACGCGCTTTTCGACGCGCTGCGGCCAGCGCGGCTGCGGCTCGGCTGCCTGCGGGCGCTGCTGGGCCGGGAGCATCCCGAGGTTTGCGCCCTGCTGCTGCAGCGCGCCCGGCAGGACGCGGCGGCAGGGGCGATCTCTGAGGGCGAGGCCTGGTCTCTGTGCGAGCCGTGGCTGCGGCCGGGTGGCCAGAGGGGGTGGCGTGCTCCCGACAGTGCAGCAGAGGGGCAGCTAGGCGGCAGCGGCGGCGGCAGCTACGACTGGGAGCTGGCCGACAGGGCGAACGCTCTGTGTGCTGCTTTGAATGTCCTGCTGCTGCTGCGGCTGCGGCAGCAGCAGCGACAGCGCGCCGCGGCGGCGAGCAGTGATGGCGGCAGCTGCGGTGACAGCGGCGGCGGCAGCGACGCTCGGGACGTTGCTGGAGAGGGGCTGCCGGCCCCCAATCACCTACGAAGGTTTTTACTCGTCCCACTCAGCGACGCGGTCAAGGCAGAGCTCGCGCGGTTGAAGGAAGAGGCGGAGCGTGAGGGCGAGCGCGGCGGGCCGGGGGCTGGGGCTGCTGCTGCGGGAGAAGCGGCTGCGGGCAAGGGCGGGGGCGACGGGGCGGGTGCTCTGGGCGAGGGCCAGGGAACGGGGTCTGCCGTGGACGCGTGGCTGGCCCTCAGCCGCGTAGAAGACGCTGCTGCGCGGCTGCTGGAGCTCTGCGGCTGATAGCTTGACGCCACCACTCGACGCGCCCTCCCAGCTTCGCCCACGCTGTCAACCAATCGGCGTTGCAGTTGAGTGAATTGCGACGTCGCACCACGCCCTCCACGCACCAAAAAAGCTGTGCTGCAAATTTGTAAGCTGTAAGCTCTCGAAGCTGGGCAAAATGGGAACAGCCAGGGTTGCTTCACCCCTGCCCGCAACCCTGCCTGCAACCGACACCTGTACAGTTTCCTCCTCGTACTGTCACATCGTGATCGCGTCCTAACCCACGGTGCGCATGCCCCATGCGGTCTTTGTTCTTTGTTTGTAGAGGACGTGTTTTCACACGCGTCCCGCATCCAGCGTAGGCTCTGCCCTCGCAGCACTGTGCAGGGGCTGTCTGGGCTTGGCTTAGCAACAGGCGCCTCAGAGGTGTGCGACAATCAGCTGGCAGGTGCCGGGACTTGGTGCCGGTGCCATTCGTGTTGGCAGCGTGCAGCAGGGCTCGGTCGAGATCTGCAGCATCTCGTCTGCAGCCCTCGCAGTATGTCATGATTTGTATCCATGATCAGAGCCACGACAGCTTGCTTCCTTTATGGCGGATGCTAGTGCCGGAGACTGCAGATCGCCGAATGTCTCGTTTTGCGGGGCCTCCCTCCCTTGACCGCAGGGCTTGGGCCAGGATGCTGCAGCAGGCAGCCAAGCAGCTGGCCCCGCTGCTGGCGGAGGCTGCCGGCAGCTTCGCCAGCGGGCAGGCGCTCGCGCACTATGCCGTGCCGGCCGTTGCGACCAAGGGCGTGTTTGGCAGCAAGCGCGTGACTGTGCCGCTTTCGGAGCCGCTGCCGGGCATAGACATCCCCAAGTATGCGCCCCCAGCAGAGGTCAAGTTGGAGGTGCGTGCTGCTGCAGATAGGCCTGGTGGTCGTCAAGTGCGATCAGGCAACCACGCTGCTTGCTGCAAGCAAGCACGGCTATATCGCAGCCCGGCACCCAGCGGTCGGCACGTTGATGCTGCAGCAGGGGCAGCGGCTCACTGGCACACGCGATGGCCACCCCAGCGGCTTCGGGCGGCGCATGGCAGCGGCGGCACGTGGCCGTCCTTATCTTGCCTTCGCAATCGCTGCCGGCTGAGCCTCAGCACCCGACGCCGCCACCCCAACTCCCGGATCCCAACCCGTCCACCGCCCCAGACCGGCGAAATCGGGGGCGTCAAGGCCGCCGCGGTGGACACGGGCGGCCCCAACATTGCGGTCGCCGTGTTCGTAGGGGCGGGCAGCGTGAACGAGACGCCCGCCAACGCCGGGGCCAGCAAGCTTCTGGAGTACCTGGCCTTCAGCGCCACCAGCAACAGGTGCGCATCACTGGCCCGCTTTGTGTGTGAGTGTGTGTATGTGTATATGTGTGTGTTCTTGAGTGTATGCATGCACGTGTGTGTGTGTGTGTGTGTGTGTGTGTGTGTGTGTGTGTGTGTGTGTGTGTGTTTGAAAATGAGAGAGAGAGAGAAAGGGTACATGTACGTATGAGAGAGTGTGTGTGGATGTATTGGGGTGGGCTGGGGTGGGCTGTTCGTGTGCATGTGTAGTCGCGGCCCCGACGGGTGCAGGCCGCGGTGGCGCTCACAGTAGTGGGCGGAAGCTGCAGCACCAGGTAGCCGTGGCGGGTGTCGTACGCAGCGGGAGATCAAAGACCAATGGCCAAGCGCTGCGGCGGGCGCAGCGCAGCTGGGAGCGCGCTCAGGGGCGCTGCTGCAAGCGGCCGGCCCAACGTGGCAGCCCGGGCGGCCTCCATCTTTGTAACAGTGGAGCAGCTCCCTCGGCACGAACCTCATGGCACACCCTTCGCAGCGCGCCGCCCTTCGCCGCCCGCGCACCCTCCACCCAAACGCCTGCCATCCCGATGCCCGATTACCGTTACCCGCCAGGTCCACCTTCCGCCTCACGCGTGAGCTGGAGAAGTACGGCGCCGCCTCCGCCGCGCTGGCCGGGCGCGAGTCGATCGCGTACGGCGTGGAGGGCACCAAGCTGCAGGCCGCGGAGATCACCGAGATCTTGCTGGACGCGGTGCTTAACATAAGGCATGTCTCTGCGATCTAGGGGGGCCATGGATGTGTTTGTGGTAGGCCGTGTTTGGGATGGCGTTGAGGCCTGAGTGTGGCTGGCTGGGGAGTGTGTTATCGGGCTGGATAGGGAGGGCATGTGTTGAGGAGCTCATCAGAGGGTGGGGTCCATGATGTGGTGGAGGATGGGGGATGGGCGGCCAATGAGTGTGCGGGTTGCAGCGGGCGGGCGGCGGGCCGCACGCAAGGACCTGGAGTGGGGCACGGTTGCAGATGCCCTCCTATGAGCTGATGACGCGAGGGCATCGGCAGCAAACCTCAGAGCGGGGGGCGGGTCCTGCGGGCGGGCGCGTGCCTGCGCCTGTCTTGGCAGGGCCCGTGCCTGTCGCCCACGCAGCTGTTTGCGGCGCAAGCTGTACTGCAGCCCGCCCTCTGCCTCACCTGCACGCCCTCGGCCGCGCCCCACACCACACCACCCCTCCCCACGCCGCACTCCGACCCAAACTCCCCCTTGCTCCAGCATAACTGTACCCGGCCCCACCCCACCCTCACCC